TAAGATCCTGAATTCTGCGAACCTTGAAAATCTTGATGAAAAACCTTAAGAATAGGTATCTAAATACTCATTTCTGATTCATCACCCCGCATATGTCCTCTCAAGATCCTGAACCTTGATTCATTACTTTGCAAACTTCCTGGTTCTTCTGAGAAAAAAATTTCAAGATCTCAGATCCTGTCAGATTCTTAGAACTTTTGAATTTTGAATTGTTCTTTGGGAAAAATTCTGTTTTTTTAAAGAATACGTTACAGATGTCAGAGATTCTGAGTTCTGCGAACCTTGAAAATCTTGAATTTATGAAACATCACTATAGAAAATCTATACCTATCCTAATTTCTGAGTATTTACCTACCTCGCACATTTCGCGATTCTTCACTAAAAAAGCTCTTAAGATCCTCAATATTGACTCATTACCTACTTTGCATACTTCCTGGTTCTTCTCAAAGAAAATCTTGAAGTTTTTATAGACCCTGTCAGATTCTTTAGAACTTTTGAATAATGATTTGTTCTTTCAAAAAGATTCTGTTTTTCAAAAGATGACGTTACAGATCTTAAGATCCTGAATTCTGCGAACCTTGGAAATCTTGCTTCTATGAAAAACCTCTAAAATCTCTAGATACTGATTTCTGAGTCATTACCCCACATATTTTCCGATTCTTCTCCAAAAAGACTCTCAAGATCGTGAACCTTGAATCATTACTTTGCAAACTTTCTTGTTCTGGACAAAATTTTGAAGAAAATCTCAGATCCTGTCAGAATCCTAAGAACCTTTGAATTTTGATTTGTTCTTTCAAAAAGGTTCTGTTTTCCAAAGAAGACATTACAAATCAGGATTTTTGGATAGGAAATGTGGGTTTTATGAAAAATCTCTAGAATCTATAGATTCTGATTTCTGAGTCGCTGCATATTTCCCGATTTTTCTCCATAAAGATTCTAAAGATCCTGAATCTTAAGTTAATTTTTTGAAAACTTACTGGGATCTGTCATATTCTTAGAACCATTAGATTCTGATTTTTTTTTAGGAAAGATTCTGAATTTTTATCTGAATCTTGATTCATTACTTTGCTTACTTTCTGTCTTTCAGATTCTTAGTTCCTTTAAATTTCGAATTGTTCTTTGGGAAAAGTTCTGTTTTTCCAAAGAAGACGTTACAGATCTTGAGATTCTGAATTCTGAGCACCTTGAACATCTTGGTCTTATGAAAAATCTCTAGACTCTCTAAATACTGATTCCTGAGTTATTACCACGCGCATTTCCCGATTTTTCTTCCAAAAGATTCTTGTAAATCATTGCAAACTTCCTGGTTCTTCCAAGAGAAATATTTTCAGGATTTTTAGATCTTTCATATTCTTAGTACCAATAAATCGGTAATTTCTTTTCGAGAAACTATAAGATCCTGGATTATCTTGAAAATTTCAGGTGTTTTTGTAAACTTCAAATCCTGACTTCCGGGTCGTTACGGGTATTAATAGTAGATTATACCACGAGTCAATAATGATAGCTATTATTCCCGAGGATTATTACGAACTGAGCCGCGTTAGCGGCGAGGGAGTAACATTCCGAGGGAATAATAGCCATTATTGCGAGTAGTATACTCTACTTTATTTACGACAAATTAATTTATTTGAGATTTTCAATGAACAAATTTCATCCGTCTCATAATTTTCAATACAAATCCACAAGCACTACACGTTTGACACTGACACTTTTGTGGAATAATGACCATTAATCCCGCTACTCGTCATTAATCCCTGGAGGAATAACATATGTCATTATACTGCCAAAATCACAAATATAATACGCACATTATACATTAGTCGTAAATAAAATTAATTTCATGCTACTTTTATATGAAATCTCTAGAACGAGAATTCTGTGTCATTACTTTGCAAGTTTCTTAGAATCTCTGAATTTTGAATTGTTCTTTCGCATAATAATATGTTCTGTTTTTCCAAAAAAGACGATTAAGATCTTGAGATTCCGAATGTCCTGATTCATTACTTCGCAAACTTCCTAATTTTTCTGAGACAATGTTTTAAAAATCTTAGATCCTGTCAGATTCTCAGAACCTTCGAATTTCGATTTCTTCTTTGGGAAATGTTCTGTTTTTTCAAAGAAGACGTAACAGATGTTGAGTTTCCGAATTCTGCGAACACTGAAAATCTTTATTTTTTTATTTTTTTTCTTTTTAGTCTAGGAAAATTGTCGATTTTCAAAAAAAAAATCCTACCCAAAAGAACTTTTCAGGGATGATAGAGGGAGGGTGGGTGATCATAAAACCGAAAATATCAAACATTCACCCCTCTGGCGTTTTGCGCTATAGGGGTTGAAAGTGCGCCATTGGCGATTACTTGGTACCTATTGATTTTACAAAAAAATGTTTCAAATAAAAGATGTGCAACATTATTTGATCTACAATGTTTATCTAAAGACTTTTTTGATTAAGGGCCGTCTGTGGTCATAAGGGCCGTTTGAAATTTTATAATGATAATGAAATATTTTAACCAACGTGAAAATTTTTTCTACAACACATACAACATTTTTGCTTTATGAAGTTTTTACTCACCCCGCGCCGTTTCTCAATAGGGGTTGTTTAAAGTTTATTTATTTTTTTATAAAAGTTTTATAAGATTACATTTCCTACAATTTTTCCCAATCAACTTTTTTTGTAATTCACCCCCATTCAGCGGGGGGACACTTCTCTCGGGGAAATTTTAGTTTTTAGGGGTATTATATTTTTTTTCATTCTTTTCTCGCCTTTAGTGCATATAAAAAGGTGCAATTAACATTGTACTAAAAGGATTTTTTTTCCACCACCTTTTTGTTTTTAGGGGTAGTTCGCCTATTTTCAACTTTACAAAAAAAAATTATCGAGAAAACTTGTTCATTTTATTATTTTGAGCAACTTTTCTCTATAACTTTTTTTTGCAAAGTTGAAAATAGGCGAACTACTCCTAAAAACAAAAAGGTAGTGGAAAAAAAATCCTTTTAGTACAATGTTAATTGCACCTTTTTATATGCACTAAAGGCGGGAAAAGAAAAAAAAATTAATATATACCGCTAAAAACTAAAATTTCCCTAAGGGAAGTGTCCCCCCGCTGAATGGGGGTGAGTTACAAAAAAAGTTGATTGGGAAAAATTGTAGGAAATGTAATCTTATAAAACTTTTATAAGGAAATTTTTTTTGTAAAAAAATAAATAAACTTTAAACAACCCCTATTGAAAAACGGCAGGGGGTGAGTAAAAACTTCATAAAGCAAAATTGTTGTATGTGTTGTAGAAAAAACTTTCACGTTGGTTAAAATTTTTCATTTTCATTATAAAATTTCAAACGGCCCTTATGACTACAGACGGCCCTTAATCAAAAAAGTCTTTAGATAAACATTGTAGATCAAATAATGTTGCACATCTTTTATTTGAAACATTTTTTTGTAAAATCAATTGATACCAAGTAATCGCCAATGGCGCACTTTCAACCCCTATAGCGCAAAACGCCAGAGGGGTGAATGTTTGATATTTTCGGTTTTATGATCACCCGCCCGCCCCCTATCATCCCTGAAAAGTTCATTTGGGTAGGATTTTTTTTTTTTTGCAATACAAGTATTTTTCGACTATTTTCCTAGACTATTTATACACTTCTTGTCCAGTGAGGAAGATATTATTCTGTTGTTCTTGGATATAATGAAAACAAGTGGTTTTGTTTCTTTAGCTACGTTTCGAAATAGTTATTTATGCAACAAGTGTGTAAAGTGAACCTTTTTTCACAAATGTGTAGTTTGACGCACGAGCCGAAGGCGAGTGCGACAATCACATGAGTGGAAAAAGGTGCTTTACACACGTATTGCATACAACATTTTTTCTACTACCAATAAAATATGTTTGAAAAACCAAATTTGGATAAATACTTTACGCACTAGTGCGTGAAGTATTTTCATTTCACGAAGTAATTTATCAGAAAAATACCAAATTGACAGTTGTCGACATCTGTCATTGACATTACTTTACGCACTACTGTGTGAAGTGAATTACATTACACATTAGTGCGTGAAGTGAAATTTTACCTCTTCTGAACCATGTGTAAAGTGAGTACTTTACGCACGGTAGTATAAAAAACATATTTTCTTCTTCAGGCTCCAAGACAAGGTCAATATTAATGAAGCAACAACCGAGCGTATCAGGCATTTCAGAGAATTTTTGCTTGACTAAGTTGTCTAGGGATAGTCGTTGTTCAGGTGTTAGAGTCGTCACGTCTTGAACGCTACACACGTGAGTCTCCAATTTTTCAGAAAAGTACCATATATCCTGTTTGAGATCAGGAACCAACACCAGGGACTTCCAAAAGTCTACTCCTAAAACTAAATTGTGAGAGAGACCAGGAAGGACTAAAATATCGATAATTTTTGTTGTATGCATCAGGGTGATTGGAACTTGGAAATATCCAGTACTGGTGCAGCTTTGTCCGTTCGCAACAGTGCAGTTCATATTGTGCTTTAACATTCGGAGACCTAAGCTGTTCAAGATCTCGAATCCTGGAAGAGCGACAATAGTGCGCGATGCATCAAAGTCCAGTAGACCTCGCATCTTATAACCTAGGATAGAAATTCCTAAGTATGGTTATAAGTTGCTAATAATAAAAATTATTACCAGCTAAATCTATTCCATTGGCAAATACCTACCCCAATATCGTTAGATCTGCTCATCCACACAAGCTTTCATTTCATGTGTACCTATCTACTGCCCCGCAGTACGCCGATGATTAAAGAATAAGTCCTTGACTAAAGGCGGGTACAATTATAAAACTAATGACAGATAGCAAAAAGTTAACTTGTGGAATTACTACGGAAAGTAACGTCATTCCAGAAGTTAACTGTAAAAATAGTTTTATAATACCCACTCTTAATCAAACAAAGGAAAGATTTCTCTTCATAAACCTTCCTGTGAAAATAAGGAGCCAATACAAAATTCACGAAATAAAACAGCAGCAGAATTTTTTTAAATAATGTTCGATATATTTATTGCAGCAATATTTTACACACGACTGATCTCATCAACAACTGATCTATCATTAATAAATATTCGATATGTTTTTAAAACCTAAAAAATGACATAAGAATGGAAAATGAAAAATTTATTCGCGTGTGTTGAAACAATATTAGAGATAAGTACACAGTATAGAGAGGAAAGTATGGTAATGACGAATTTCGCAGCTAGATCCACAAATTTTATATTCATAAATATTGTTACCTAATATAGCTTTTTTTTAATACATTATTATTATAGCTACACTAATTTATTTATTATTTTTTTTATTATTAGTTTTACATATACATATAGTTACAATAATACAAAATACATTATACTGCCTTGAAACAGTGATTTTATGTACATTGTTTTTCCAGGAATATTTTGGTTTTTCTAGAATCAAAACATGTCTGGAAAATTTCCAATTCTTGGCTTTAGTTACATCAAGATAAAACAGATTAAAGCTAAAAAGCTATAGCATCTGAAAGTCTCTAATAATTGTTTTTATCTATTATTGCACTCTTAACTTTATTAAAATTAATTTTTCCAAAATTATTTATACAAAAGTACGCGACTTCTCATTGAGGAAACTAATAAACACTGACAAATAAAGCCAAGAATAAAACATTACACAGTCTAAGGAGCGCCTATTAACGATCAAAGAATCTAAGGAACAAAAACGATAAGATAAATATTAATAATATAATATATCACATATAGTACAGCACGTCCAAAAAGACAATAAAGGCGTCCGTTTACTATTATTTTATTATAAGTATTGTCCATGTTGGTCTTTTTTTTTTAGCATCAAAGTGTCCAGAATGAATAATTATATTATAAGGTTGACACGTAGAGGGATGCCTGAAAGAATTGTCAATACTCAACGTTTAGTAAATAACTTTTCTTGACTATGCTTGTTTTGATAAATCTGGATCTTACATCAACAAACGGAAATTCTTCTTTGTTTTCATCGTATTAGAGTGAACAAAGAAAGACTTCACAATATTAGAGTTAGAGAAGGCAAAACTTATATTCAACTATTAGTTATCACTTGATAACATGGATGAATAAAAAAAAAAAAACGTTTTGACTTACCTTTCTTTCCCTATACATCCCTCTATGCGCACACTCCGATAAACCCAAAAAAAAAAATATAAACAAACAAAATAAACTTAAACGCAGAGGTAGATAGACAAAGAAACTGAAAAAAATCACTCACAAATCACTCAACATCAAACTTTGTTCAGCGCTATTGGTTTTATCGGACTATCCGCGCCTCCTGCGGAACTCAACGAACTCGTCGTAGACGATGGTGACATGCGCGAAGAGTGCGTGGTGAGACCCAAAGGTAGGCCGCTACTTGCCGAAGACATTGACGAGTTTCCAAGATGATGAATACCACTTGAACCCGCCAAACTTGTCTTGATGGCGTTTTGCTGCGCAGCCAACGTACGCTGATAGGTTTCTAGTAAACTGGCATCCGGCGAGGCTCCTAAGTGCTGCGCAGCTGGTCCATACAAACTCCTATAAAAATCGTGAGGGCGCGCATACGGAGCTGTATGTAAGCCTGGAGGTGGTAATCTAGTTCCCAAAGGAGCCACGAGCCTACTAGATGCAGTCGAATACATGCTGGCAGGGGTAGAGCTTTCGCTGCTCTCTTTGGAAGCCATATCGGCCAGGCTCCAGATTCTGGGTTTGGTGGTTACACTTTGGCTCATTTGGGGTGGACTGCCGGAAGATCTGGGTGGCAGAAAGGCCGGATGGGGAGGTCGTTCGTAGATTTCTGGACTGTCTGGACCGCTGTCGGGTCGGGATTCGCTCCATTCGGATGGAGTATCCGGAGCGAGTCTGGAGTGAGGTGGTCGGTCACCGTCTTCACTTGAAGCGGTACCAGAATCTTTGGAATCTAAAATATTATTGGTTAGATATTATGGGAATTAGAAAAGAAATTGTGAGTGTTTACCTAACAAGTCTTTTCCATCAGTACTCTTATGGTCCTGATCATCATCGTCATTATTATTGTCATCGTCTTCTACCCTATTTCTTGGTTCCCATGTCATTTTGTTTTCTTTTTTTAATCTTCTGCGAGCATTTGCAAACCACGTAGATACCTGGAACAAAAATAACATTGTAATTATTGGTTTCAGTGTTTGTGTTTCACGCTAATACTTACTTGTGTTAGAGTCATTTTTGTAATTATAGCCAACATAATTTTTTCACCTTTAGTAGGATAAGGATTTTTTTTATGTTCATTTAGCCACGCTTTAAGTGTACTTGTCGTTTCTCTCGTCGCATTTTTTCGTCGGGCACCGTTGAGATCCATGCCATATCTGGAACAAGGAAAGTATTTTAATCAATTGCGAAATTCAAATCTGTGTGTGGCAAAAGGGGACGCTATTGCCAAAGTGTTTTCCCCCGAAAACTCTCCAGAGCGATTGGAGAGCAGCCATGTGAAAATTATCCGCGCACCCCTTTAAAATCGCGAATTAGTTATTTCTATGGCAACAACAGAAAGGGTTGAATTATCGTTTTGAGTTGATTTAATGGGGTTTTATGAATTCTCAGTTATTGGCTTTAAGAGTGCTTGCGTTGAGAACGTAAGCTTGAATTTTCTTTTGGTCACTTTTGAGACAACCCCAGATGATGATAGACAAATGAAATTTGTCGAGGACAACTGTACCTACTTGGGAACTTATATACTAGTACAGCAAGATATGACAAGATTACAAGACACAACAGAGCAGCTGGCTCAGAAAGAAGGCCAAGAAGGGTGAAGTGTTTATTTCATGCTTCTAAAAAAATTTCGATCAACAACTTCATGAAACTGAAATGCTTCACAACATGGTTTGTATTGCTTTTCAAGACATATCCATTTGATTGGGTTAGAAACCAGTCAATCCTATCAAATCATACCAAAGTATCCAAATGTTGAGCCTTGAATAGTCAAAAAATGCATTTGGGTATTAGTAATTCAAATTTTCACTGTTCCAGGCTCTTCATTCCCAATCGAGAGCCCGGAATAGTCAAAAATTGAATTGGAATATTAATTCATCAATAAATTAAAATCTTGACTCTTCCAGGCTTTTGATTGGGTTGGAAACCAGCAAATCCATCAAATCATACCAAAGTATCCAAATCTTGACCCTTGAATAGTTAAAAAATGCAGTTGAGTATTAATAATTCAAATTTTAACTATTCCAGGCCCTTGGTTCCTAATCAAGAGCCGGGAATAGTCAAAAGTTGAATTTGGATATCAATTTAATAATTTGAAATCTTGACTCTTTCAGGCTTTTGATTTGGTTGAGTAAATCCATCAAATTATATCAAAGCGAGGGGTAAACCACTAGTGGAAATCATTGTACATTTTGGGAATCACATATATCAATCAATCAAGAATCCCTGGAGCCGTATTCTTGAACTTCTGGGAGGAGAACTTGATCGGGAAGTGGACGTGGTTTACCTCAAAAAGGTACATGTCATATTATTGAAAATGGGACTCTGAAGTGAAAGTTCCGGGAAATTCTGATGTTCCCATCCTCTTACCGAAGAGAAAACGAGTTCCCGCCAGGGTTTCTAACCTCGAGACTAGACGTTGTTCGTTTTCTCCTTCCAAATTCAAGGTTTTCCAATTTTTGTATGTGTTCATTTTTGTATGTGTTGTGCCTTTTCATTAAAATGAATGTAGATTATTTTAATGAGATTATCTTGAATAACATAACATATTCTAAGAAGATATGAAAACACTGCAAAAGCAAAAGAAATAGAATGGGATGTTCTGCCTCAAAGAATTCGAGGATACTTTTAACTCCATGAAGCGAAAGTGAACTAGCTTTCTTGGGAACGTTCCCGGAATCACTTTCTTCCCGGGCAGTCAAGAATAGGGGTCTGGGAATCACCTGGAAATCCCTGGGAATAACCTGGGAATCGCTAGAAATCACCTAGGAATCATCTAGGAATTATTATCCGCAAAACACGATTGAAAAGTAAATAATAAACTTTGAGGAAATGAGATAGTGAATGGGTAAATAAAACAAAAAAATAAAAAAGAGAGGGTGTGGTGGCTGAAGTCTAGAAACGGGACTTCGTATGAAGGGTTGCCGACTAGCTTCCAATGCGGAGAGGGGTGTGGATCAATTAAATAAATAAATATAGAGCGCCACCTGCTTTTCCCTACGGACCTATAGCAACACAACCTGAAATATAAAAGTAAACAAGATGGAAGGACAGAAGTAAAACGCTTTGTTACAAAAGCAATAATACCTGAAATGTAATAGTTATTTACTTAACAAATGCGGAAAGTGATACTTTACCGCATGCAACGGCAGTTGACCGAACGACGCGAAGCGAAATTCGGTCAAGCCGTTAAGGGCGGTAAAGGCACTTTCCGCATGTGTTAGGTACAAAATTTTACCTATGAGCATCTACATCTCCAAAAAAAGCATTGATAAAATTAATTAATGAATCAGATTAATTAATGAAATAAGATTAAATTTAGAAATGATCAAAAATCCATTTTCTGAAAAAGAAAGGAACTTTGATTATAAATATCAAATTCTACTTTACCGCACACTTTGTAGTCCACTTTACCGCATACTATGCTGGAAAGTTAACTTTACCGCACACTATGCTGTAAAGTTAACTTTACCGCATAGTGTGCGGTGAAGTGATACTTTCCATTTTCAAATACGTGCGGTAAAGTGCACTTTACCGCACGCTCGTAGGTAAATTAATAAACAAGCTTACTAAATGCAGTACCTCCGTAAATGGCCATTTAACCCCAGTGTGCAAGTATTTTCCTGTATTCAGTACAGCATGTATTTATAGGATATTAGAGAGATATAGATCATTATTTAAAAGTTGAAGTAACAATACGTAACCTGAAGGGCAAATTTAATATTATGGAATAATATAGGTAATATAAGTTTCATATAATATAGGTAATATAGATAATTAATTAAAATTGAAATAACAACACATAACCTCTGAAGGGCAAATTTAATATTTTAGAAGACTGCGTCGCTGTGGTAATTTATTCCAACAACGGGTTGGTAAGGTTTGATAGGTTCCAGATATTAAGACAATACAACACACTTATCAAACCTAAGTAGTCCCTAATCCCTTAAGGGGAACCTGAAGGATTGGATTGATATCTTCCAGTGTTTCCGATTGCCTGGGACTAGATCAGGACCGCGACAAGAATCAACTGGCCCTGGGCACTTGAAGTTCAGTAACTAGAAGTCAGTAAAGCTTCCAATTTTCTAGCGAATTGAAATATACAGTAAGCTTAACGTTTAACTCTTTACTCAAAGTTAAGGACTAAAGCGTGACGAAAAAAGGCTTTGCTTTTTTTCGGCTAACAAAGAAATCCGCGCAAGGCGCTTTGGTGCTAAAATAAAGGATTAGCCACCCCACATCTATGAGCGAAATTGGACAACTCAGAAAATCGGCAAAATGTGCTTGAGAAATGTTCCCGAACACTTGCTCGTGGAAAGTCCTCTACCTGAATGACCTCTACTTGTCCCTTAGATGTCCTTCAAAAAGGTTGTGTCAAAACTCCAAGGTGAAAGGTTGTGGGGAACTTTGATGGTAGTTGGGCATAGGACTTATTTAAATTAAGTTGGTACCGGTCATTGACCTTATTTGGAGCGCTGTCAATCAAGTCAATCTAATCGGATCAGACAATCAGCTGTTCTAATTTAATGTAAATATTGTGATATTGTTTATTAATAAATCAATTGACTATTTATTTTAACCCTACTAAAAGGAAATCAATTCCATTATTAAACCTCTAACTTGATGGTTCTGGGAAGAATGAAAAGTTTGAAGAAAAGTGTGGCCACAACTATTGGAAAGAAAACAGTGGCTTGACGAAGGTATGCTATTGGCGAATACGCTTATTTCCTTTTATTTTAACCCAGGAAAAATCATCCCGTAACAGAATCCATGAGCATCACATAGGAATCTACTGGCAATCGCTGGAAATCATATGGTAATCGCTAGGAATCACACTAATTCTAACCTAGAAATCACGCGGTTGTGTTTTTGTCTTTCAGATGTTAACAAACTAAGTTGTGACCAAAAGTGTTTAATAAAACAATTAGGTAAGCGCTCTACTCTATACGGTTAAAAATTCAACAAATTATAGGTAATCCTTACACGGTGTCTAAGGTTTGTTCCGACCCGCCATAAAACCGTCCCAAGAACGGTTTCGGACCCACTCTGTATACGGATTTCGCATTCTACACACAAATTTTACGTTTTGCGCATAATCCTGACGGTGGAATGTACGGTTCCCTGCTCGATTGAACAAAGCTTCTATTATCGTTAAACGGGTACGATAAACGCATGCGCATGCATAATGGACACGTCACGGCAATTTTAAATGAATTTATTGCTCGATTTATGCAAGAGATGTACTGTCCAAACTACTGAAGGGGGAGGAAAAGAAAGCAATGTTTGGGATATTTAACGAAGAATGTAGAATGTTCATTGTTTAGAATACCAGAAGAACATAAGAAACTCATAAAATTGATTAAAGAAGAATCTGAAAGAAAAACTAAAATTTTAAAACGACGAATTGAGCAGAATTCAAAAAGCTCGGCCCCAGAACCGAAAAAAAAAGTACTAACCAAGGTACTTACAGAAGTAGTCTGTCTTACTCTGAAACTGATACAGAAGATAATGGCCAAGACCTAGGTGATACAAATAGCAGTTTTTCCAAGAATTTGGCACTACAGCATGTTGTAAAAAGTCAGAAAAATTTTGCAGGGAAGAGTTTTGCAACAGGAAATGAAACTAGAATGACCAGATGATGATGGAATGACCAGATGATGATGGAATGACCACAACATGAGAATGAGAACAAAAAATGGAAATCACCTAGTAATCATACGAAAATATTTGATTTGATGACAATCATTGGCAATCAGCCGCAATTCTTATGGGAATACATGGGAGTCATTGATCAGTGATTGCCAAATATGGAAATCATTGTACATTTGTGAGCATAGTGGTTAACCCCTCGTATCCAAGTATCTAAAAATAGTCAAAAAATGCATTTGGGTATTAATAATTATTCAAATTTTGCACTATTTCAGGCTCTTGATTCCCATTCAAAAGCCAGGAATAGTCAAAAGTTGAATTTGGATATTTATTTAATAATAAATGTGAATCTTGAGTATTCCAGGCTTTTGATTCATCAAATCATACCAAAGTATCCAAATCTTGAGCCTTGAATGACTAATATCAAGAACTATCGATTAATATCATTGTTGTCCCAGATCTACAAAGTATTTAGAAGAATTATCGTGAACAGCCTCACATCTGATAT